TTTTCATCATACTTTCTTCTACAATCTACTCCAGCTTGTTCATTATATTTTTCATTTGTTGGTCTCAAAAATTGTTGATCAGTTCTACCTGTGTATCCTGGATTTCCTACTCCTGATGTACTACTTTCTTCTGCTGGATTACATTCTACTTTCAATTCTAATAAATTATTATATTCTTTTGATCCTAAAATATGTTCTACTCTTATTTCTAAAATTAATTTTCATCTCTTCATTTGAAATTCTATGTAGTCCTAAATCATATGTCTTATATTTTTCTAAGTAATGATCAATATCTTCTATAAGCTTATCTACAATATGATCAAAATTTTGCTCAACTAAATGAATATCTAAATTATGAAATGTCATATGAATACTCTCATTTTCGATCTCACTCTCATCCTCTTCTATATTTCTAGTTGCTTGTAATTACTAAACCTAATTGTTGCTTTACCTGTACTAGTTTCATATATTTGTACTCTATCTGGTTGTCTATTTTTTGTTACTTGTAAATTAGGTAATGTCCTTGAGTTCCTTCTAAAAAGCTATCATCTACAGGTTTTGTTTCTATCATATTTACATGCATATTTGAACTAAATTTTGAAATTCTAAATTAAACTTATGATTATATTTATCAGAAACTTTACCAATATACATTAAGCTAATACACAAATTTGTATACTCTCCTTTCATATTATATTTTTTGTTTTTATGCTTACCTTAATATATTTACTAAATTCATTTATTATCATAACATAATTAGGAATACAACGTATGATTGCTAAATTTGAACTTAAATCTACTTCAACTGTTGCTATTGCTGCTTGTTGGTGATCACCCCGTCTATCATCATATATGTATACTAAAGCTTTTGTCTACTTGTGCTCTGGTTAATCTTACTATTCCAATTAATATTGTTCCTATGTGAATTTGACTGAAATGTAATTTTCTCAAATGCATAACTGCTTCCTTACTAGGTAAATTAAGTGTAACTTCTTTATCAATACAGTTAACTTCATGTTGTCTGATGCTGCTTACAATTCTACTTCTATTTTCAAATAAACCTAATGGATACAAATTGTATTTATTTTTCTGTGTTTTCTCAAAACATCTTCTAATAAATTCTTGTGCTTCGTCTTCATTTAGATAAATATTTTCAGCTCTAACTACTTCTTTTCATTTTCTCCTAAAAAGTTCCATTTTCTATTATCAAAAGGATTTATCTTAGGTCTTCTAATATGATTATTTGTACTGAAAGTTAAATTTTCTAATTTTTCTAACAAAGATGGTGGAAGTGATAAAGATGCATTATGTAAAACTTGATTTATTTATGCTATTTGTTCATCAACTTGATCTAATTTTTTAGCCAAACTTAAAACTAATTGAATAATTAAATTATTTTGCCTAATGGGAATATTACTACTAGCTACTTGTGTTGAAAAATCTATTAAACCTACTGGTTCTTTATCTAACTTACTAATTTCTTTCAAAGCTTGGATATATTTTCTGCTAGTTCTAGAATCGACCATTAAACTAATAATCTATCTATTTTATTATGCAACTTATCTACTTGTTCACTCAACTCTTTTTGCACTAATTGAATTTTTTGGACTTCTAATTTAACTGCTCAACTATTTCTAATGATATGAGTTCTACTTGTTTAGGCTTACTATCTATGAGGTCAATAAGTTCTTTTATCTCTCTTTTGCTAGAAAACCTTTGAATATTTTTATTGTTATCTTTTCACTGAGATGTATTATAATCTAAATTTTGTCTAATTATTTTTATAGAATTTTTCTGAAAATGCTCTAACAACTAGTTTAACAAATGATTATGCTTATTATTTTCTAATTTTATATTTCCTGCTTGACTAATAATAAGATCTACAATACTATTGGCTTGTGGATTTTCTTCACTAGCAAAATATGATTATGCTTTCTCAATGGAAAATAACAAACTAAATTATTTTGGTCTAAGGTTATTTTTCTTCCTTGTGGTTCACTAATTTCTAAATTAAGGTAATCTATCATAAACTACGGTCTACCTTTCTCTAAAGTTGCTGCTAACTGGCTTATTAGAAACTCTCTTTATTCTCTCAAGGTCTCTAAAACTTGATCTGTTGCTTTTTTGCTTCTAAAACTTTATGCTGTACTTCTATGTTATTATATTTACAAATAAATGAATGATGTTCAAGATAACCAAGATAAAACTTCTGCTTTTTCAAAATCCTTCTAATTCTTTTGGATATATATGCTAATCTTATCTTTATGCTAATTATAGTTGGGTGTCTAGGACAATAAGTATCTTGTGGTTGTTGTTGACAAGGTCTACAAGGACAATAATATCTGTTATTCATACAAAATTAAACAAGTGCGATATTAGTTGTGTTAATGACTTTCGTCCTAAAGGTACTTTACTAGTATAATTATACTATTAAAATGCTAAAATTGGCTCCGATACCAAATTTGTAAAGCAAGCCCGGTTAAATAGTTGGATGGTCATTATAACAATTAGACATAAAACCTTGCACATGGAACTTGACATGTTTCAGCATGACGGCCACTCACAATGTAGGTATAAGGCCTTAACAGCTGAACTCAAAGGTACCCTGGTTAATGTCCAGTTATTTGTATGGCAAGCATTCAACTATAATAGAGTGCTCGAACAAAGTATGATCGTCAGTTTAGCAGGTTAATAATATAACTACAATAGTGTTTCCCTGTTTTGAACTAGAAATTAATTACACCAACACACTAAAGAAAAAAAGAAAACTTACTTAAGACTTGGAGATTGCTTGAATCTGTACACTTGAACTTTTATTGATATATATAGAATGTTTACAAAGAGAAGTGTTTACAAAGAAGTGTTTACAAAGGATGCTAGGAAGGTTTCAGATACTTGAGTGTTTGAGGATTGAAGTATGGTGTGTGTATAGTGTGAGTATGGTGTCTTTACAATGAATAGAACTCCTCTTATATAGACTGAATGAGGATGCTACGAAAAAAATAAAATTATTTAAAAATGAATAATGTGGACATCTCCTTGGTATTTGTCATTTGTCACTTTGCATCTACTGTTGCTGAAATTGTCAACACTGTTTCTGAAACGTGATCTGACTTATTTGTCTTCTTTTGCATGTGAACTAGCTTGTCTTCTTTTGCTTTGTCTTAATAAATGCTCGTGAACTCTGCTAGATGTTGGAAGTTGGAACACCTTTGCCTTTTTCTGTCTGAAGGCTTTCAAGGGCAACCTTAGCATTTTTGAAATTATTTGTCCTTGTGGTTAAATGAAAGTTTTCTAGAGTGTTTTGGATAGTTTTCCATATACGATATGTATATATATCTACCACAGCTAATTTAATCATAAAAGTTGAGTTGTTTGGTGAGGGAGGCTGTTTCTTGCTTTGATTTTGTTATGCTTTTGGTTCTAAACGCGTGAAAAATAGACAACAATTTCTCTGTCCCTATCCTGTGGAGTCGGTCCTCACCAGATCAGACTGGTCTAACTGTCTAAGGGTTCTCCACCAACCCCACTAGCTGGCTGCCTATTCGTTAGAGCCACAAGACATCTCTCATTGCCTAATTATATAGTCGTTAATATGTATGCACAAGGATTTTGCTAACCACAGTCGCCCACTTGCCCTAGGCAACTCGCTCATTCTTGTATATACACTAGCCAGGACAACTGACTCATACTCGTATGTACAATGAGTTTTGTGAGGAGACGACTGACTCGAGCATTGTTCGACTGTACACGATGTCCATACGATATACAATAATGGTTACTCTCACAACCTTTTCCCATTCATTCTAGTATGAGGTGGTGATTTTGATGCACTGTCTGTTCTGAAAGAGGATTTCCAACCTTTGCTTAATGTAAGGAGGCAATCTAGTTAGCAAAGCAGTGAAAGCACTACTGCTACGATCTAGGAATATCGAATACAGGACTGTCTACATACGAAAATTAACCCTTAATCATTGTCACCAACTCCGATACATCACTAGAAGTGGTCATCAAAGCCTTAAAAACATGCTTCAGTGAAAGCACTACTGCTACGATCTAGGAATACCAAATACAGGACTGTCTACATACGAAATGAACCCTCAATCTGTCAATCATTGTCACTGAAGCCGATACATCATTAGAACTGGTCATCAAAGCCTTGAAAACATGCTTCTGGGAATGGATTGTGTAAGATAAGAAGGGACTAGAGAACAGGACTAGGATGCAGTGTTAAGACTGACTGAAGAGTAATGTGAATATTATTTCCACTCTGGTTGGTGTGTGCAATGTTTGGTCTAGAGGCTGACCGGCACTTCAAACTGAGCCTACATATGAGCACAGCCTATCATTCTGGAGGCAGTAGGTAAACTTGTATAAAATGGTTAACCAGTTTAGCAGTCTAAACCAGTTCCATAAGTGCAAGGTGGGATTGTGTAGAAAGTAATACCCCAGCTACCATTACCCGAAGAAGTAGCAATTGTGAAAAGCAAGGTTAAGCTGCTATCACGCTGTGCAGCGATAGTGAATTGTACAACTACTAAGCTATTTAAGAAAGAGGCAGAGAAGGATGGTGAAAAACAAACCGAAAAACAGTCGACTAAGTTGATGAGTAGTCAACTAAATTGCTCTAATGAACACTCTATAATACAGAACAGTCAATGAAGTTGGCTTACTGTCAGATGCTACAATGTGCAGTTTCCGCTATGGTGTTTTTGGTGTTGCTGTTGGCAAAGCGCAGTCAATTTGGATAGATTAGTAAAGGGAGGTTAGTTTGTTACTAGATTAGTTTCTGTTCTGGAAGATAGACGAATTTTTATTAAACTCGGGGCTTCGTTTTGAATGGGGAAAATACCCCATATTGTGCTCTACATTCTGCAGAAGTCAAAGGTAACAAGTTACAAATGAAAGTTCTGCATTCTTCATACTCTTTTTTGTTGTTCTATAGCCCGCAAGCTTCGCAGTTCTTGTTCGGATGTTGGTACACAGAGAGCAATATATCACAGCAAAAATACTATCTCCATTGTAGATAGATTAAGCCTTCATCAAGAAATGAATAACAATGTCCAACTAATAGATTCACATTCACAACAGGAAAAATCCCATATTTCCACTTTGATTATTGCATGCTGACATCAGATGGGTACATCTTCAAACATAAGTTGTCAAAAATTGTTTGCAAAAGCAATATTTATTCAAAAATAAATTAAAAGAATGGGAAATAAACACCAGAGCAAATTGCAGCAGCAGTATTTAATCTATGGAAGCATAACTGTAATGCCGAACGAGAAAGTATCCAAATTTACCTGCTAAAACAAAATTGTTCTATAGCTACTCCCTCTTGTGAACCAATCTCCAAGGGATATTCAGTTGAACAAAATTCAAAAGTTTGTGTCTTGAAACTATTTCGCTTTCGTAGCCAATGCACTTCGAATAACAGAAGCCTTCCTCTCAATCGAATTCTCCTCCAAACTAGTATCCCTATAATACTGAGAGCTCTGATCATACAAGGAATAATCATCCAACCCATCACACAATGCAGAAAAGTCCTCCCTCCTCAACAAACCATTATGCAATATCGAACAAGCGCCGATATAAGCCACTGCCATCTTCATCTCCTCTTGTATTGGTCGGCTCAAAACACCCCAATTCTTCAGACTTACAATCGTCCTAAGCGCCGAAAGGCGCATCACATTGTGTGCTGCATTGAAATGCTCTTCGGGTGAGCCCTTCACGGCATCAACGAAAGGGACCATAAGCCAAGGAAGCAAAGGATACCCTCCATCTCCTATCAAGTACTGATTCACAGCCACCCCATTGACAGAAGCCGGAGGAGAATTCAACAACTTTCCCGCTTCAATATCCTTGTACAAAGTCGACGACCTTAGTACTCTTGAATCACCCTTATTGCCACGAAAACCGGCGACTATGCTGAGAATTCGTGACGAAGAATCCACCGTGATTTGGGCAGCAATGCTTTCTTCTTGCACCCCACCATTTCTAACAATTTTAAACCTTGTGCAGTCAATCACACCGCAACAATTGGGCAAACCAGTTTGGGTTTCGAAAGCCGCCGATACAGAATCAAGCTCAATTGGGTTGGGAAATTCAATCCAGAACCGGTAATTGGTGCAAAGAACTCGGCACAATTGCTTGGCGCAGAACCTGGCCACCATCTCCGAAACCCCGAATTGCTTTGAAATTTCGGGGTAGCTGGAGCCGGTGGACAGCCGAAACAAGCCCATACCGAGACGGAGATCGGCAGAGAGATTGAGAGGCGACCCAACTGGGTCACGACACTCGAGCAACGGCTCGAGTAACCCGCAGAGCCATTCGAAGGTGGACGAGGTCATTCTGAAGCAGTTTCTGAACGAGTCCGGGCTCCGACTCAGACCGAGTCGGACTGAGTCACCGCCGCCAAGTTCATGATCGCTCTCATGGTCATCGGGCTCAGAATCCCGTTCTGAGAAATGGGTTCGCTTTCGTTTCCGGGAAAGGGTGAGGAGGGAGAGGGCGGCGGCGGTTTCGTGGGATGAGAGGAAATTGTTGACGATTGGGAAGGCATTAGCGGCGGAATTGGAATCGGCGGAGTTGGGAGAGAGGAGGAGGAGGACGATGAGTTGGGAGATGGAAGAGAGGAGAGCTACGAGGGTGGCGGATTCCATTTTCTCATGGGTGTTTTGATTTTGATTTTGATTTTGTTTTTTTTTTTCTTTATTTTTCTTGGGATTCGTGGGATTGAATATCTGGGAGACGATGTACAAAGGCACACCTGGCTCTTGGTTCTTTTGTACACTACTGGTATTTTGTCATTTTGGAAGGATCTTTTGGGGCACGTGAGAGTGTCATTGGGAAATTTTGGTGTACATTTTAATGTATCACCGTAATATTTTAGATCAATAATACAATTTTATATATTTAAATTTCGTATATAGCGTCTTATAATTGGATTGAGATATGGCTACTTTGATGTCACCATTTCATATAAGTCCTCTCAGAAGCACGTGAGAGAATTCTTTACTTGAAATTTTTTGGTGGTTTCCTAATTTGAAAGATTTTGTGCTCGAAGAGGTTAATAACTTACATACACTCTTTAAGACGTCATTATGCTATCGTGAACCAATCGCACTGCATTATTTGTTTTAAATTTTCTATACATGTTACATTATTGGTTGAAACACCGCTACTTCGATATCTTTGTTTCACGTAAGTTAAAGGTCACGTGAAGGAATTCTATATTTGGAAAAGTTAGGATACATTTTAATAACTTAATGTGCAAGATTTAGGTCTTGAAGACACTCCAAATTTGGATGATTACAAATTTACTAGCCTTCCATTCATTGTTTTTCAGTTTTTCTTTTTTACTTTCTTGCCTTTTCCCTTCTCCCAGACAGAGAAAAGAAAAGTTACGGAAGAGACAAGGGAATGTGGCTTGAAGCTTTGAACTAAATCCACGCGTATACTTGTTTAATGGATCATTTCTTGTTAGTTGTATATGGTGTTATCCACACTTTTTTTTTTACTTCTTACACATATTTTGGTAATTTTCGGTTGTCGATTGAATGGATTGAGAATGATTAAATGTTAGAAATTAACATGCGGTGTGTAAAAGGTAAAAAAGAAGTGTGTGGATAGTATCATCCATACTAAAAAGATAGGATGAATATGAAAGAAAATATATTCGTTCTTATGATCAAGATAGTTGGGATTTGTTTAAAAAAAAACCCTTAGAAATGGTACACTCCAACTCTTTCTTCTTTCTTTTTTTTTTTCTTTTTTATTTTATTTTATTTTTTTTATGTTTCATATGCTATATTCCACCTTTGAAAAAAACAAATGGGTTATAACATACAATCCATGACTTAAGCCCTAGACCTTCAAACCATGATCTCTTACTGTGCCAATTCGTTGGGCAATTGTTGCATTTTGTTGGTCATGAACCCTAAATTTTATCTATGATTTCTGTCTCATATTGAATTGGATTAGAATGGATAACTGCTATATCGAAAGCGCATTGAAGGTAAAGACCAAACAAAGCCATATAAAATCCAAGCATACATCTATGAGAAAAATGTGCTTCATAGAAACTTTAATAAACCAAATGCGTCAAACGGACTTTGTATATGGGTTTAGGTTTCGGAGCCCATCTTCGATGTATAAATTGGAAGAGTCAGCTGAACTAAGTTAGGGCAAGTGGTGCATTGGCATTAAAGTATTTCTCTCCAACCCCTATATCTTGGTCCAACCCTCTCTCCTTTCCCTCCAATGTAGATTAGTATAGACGATCGTTTGTACTCATATAACCAAATTGGGTCAAAAAAACAGTAGAAAAGTTTGGTTAAACTGGCTCGCTAACAAGCTTGGGTCATGTTAAAAACCCATCAGAATTGTGGGTCACAAACTCTTAATTCATTTTGCCAAAGCCCAATATTGCACAACATGATTTTTTTTTTGCATATTGTAAATGGGAAGTGCTAGCAACCTTTGCACTAATCTATGCATTGGGACCTTTTCACTTACCAAGCGTCACATGTGATTTTGTACATAAAAAACAAGATCTTTAATGCTTTTAGCTAGGGATTAAAAATGAAAAACATAAAGGGTAATGTTATTTAAACTATATTTTGTGAACCAGACGACGTGGTTGTTGATGAATGGATTATTGCTTAAGCATTGATGATTGTGTTTATTTTCTATTGACGACACATCAAATGATTTGCAATTTTGATCTAAAAAATTGGCTATCGACATTACTCAAACATAAAACATAATTTCAAAAGCATTAAATGTTTTGTTATGTATAAAATAATATATTACATTTGATAACCGAGTACCACATGTGTTGACAAAGATAACGACTCTCGTCATCCAAAAAACCAAAAACCTTAGAAAACAAAATCGGGATTTCAAAAAATTCAATGAGATTTGACGAGAATCTCGGCCAAGGGTCTTCAGGGATGACTGAAGATCATCGGGGACAACTATTCTCACAAAAAATTGGTGAACCATATTGGTTGCGTCTTGGTTTCAGGCGAGGTTGGTGACGACAATGCTAAAACGGTGTCGTGCCTTTTGAGTTCAGGCTTAGAGCAGGGAAGCTCCGTGTGGGCTCAGCTCGGCTAGTGTAACAGCTCGGCTCCAGCGGCTCGGGCTACTGGCCTAGGTGCTGGTGGCTTGGCAGCACGGCTCAAAACTGTTGATCACATGGGTTTTTCAAACCCCAATTTTTTTTTTAATGTTTTCAATTCATAATATCAATTCACATAATAGCAATAATTTGAGTATAATGCATGCACTATTTATGTAAAATTAAAAATTCATAGAATGTAGAGTTCGATCATGCATTATTGATGAACCAATTTTGTATCAAAAATTTCCCTTTAGATTCTGTAACGCAGCATAAAAGTGTACTCATAACGTGTCGTGGCCTATATTTAACTAAAGAAAAGAGAGGGGTGCAATAGAGAGAGAGAGAGAGAGAGAGAGAGAGAGAGAGAGACTATAGAATGCTTATTTATTCTTGTGTGTATTCCTCCCTACGCAATGCCTATATAGAAAGAATAACTAGAGTGATAATAATCTAGAAACCAAATTGATCTAGGATTTACACAATCACAATTAAAGAAGGGAATTGTTATTGGCACTCCAAAGTTTTCATTTAGCACTCTAAACTTTTTATACTTAAAGGAAAAACATAAATGAAATTTTTGGAGTGCTAATACCAGTTCCCTTAAATAATAACATCTTTCACATTATTGAGATTTGTTTTTTTTGACAAATAATAGGATAATCTACCCTAAACTTGTCAAAACTATAAGCAGGGAGATTCAAACACAAGACCTTAGATGCAAGGAAGAACATTATGGTACCTTTGAAATGAAATTTCATAGTTTAAAATCTCTAATTTTTATACATGAGCTATAAATGAAAACGAAAAACTACTACTACCAAAGGCCACATGTAGCAATTCAAATACCTTTTTTTTTTTCGAGCTCTCATGAAAGGTTGCGCTTCACTCCAAATTTATAAAATCACAAGGGAAAAATTATACGAAGAAGTGTAGGATGACATATTTGGATTATCAATAACAACGTTATATTCAATGAAAAAAAAGAGAGTAACAACACTGAATTCAATTAAAAAAAATAACAACACCTTATCTAATTTTTTTTTTAACAAGCAATATTATCTGCACTAAAGGGCTAGGGGAGTGGGCTAAACCTCACAATGGGCGAGCCATAAGAATGTGGTTCAAATTCGCCTTTGGCGATAATCGAACCTAAGACCTCTCACTTACAAGTGGAGATGAATACTACTAGACTGTAGTACTAAATGACAACACTTTATCTAACTTAAAAGTGTTGATGGTTGATAAACCACATAGGATTGAATCTTTGCTCCATTGGGAAGTTCCTCTTTCAGGTTGGTTTAAGATTAGTGTTAATGGTTGCAACACTGAAAGTAATAATTCTATTGGAGTAGGTGGTGTTTTGAGAGATTCTGATGGTAAATGGATTCCTAGGTTTTGTGCTAATTTGGGCACATGTGAGACTCTCAATTTTGAGCTATAGGGTCTATACTTGGGCTTACAATTGGCATGAAGATTATGAATTGATAAATTGTTGGTGGAATCAGACTTTGCAGTAATAGTTCATTTGGTGTTGCAAGCTACTGGCAATAATCATCCTTTAGGTCCCCTTGTGTTGGCATGTCGATATTTGCTTTCAAGATCTTGGCAATGTGAATTTTGGCATGTCTACAAAGAAAAGAATTTTATGGCGGACAATTTAGCGACCTATAGCCTTAATTTAGATTTAAGTCATTTTTATTTTGATACTCCTCCTTGTTCAGTTAGTTTTATTCGTGAGGATCGACTTGGGATGTCCCGGTCTAAATTTATTATTGAGTAGGTTTGTTTAGGCTCTTGCTTTTAGCCCAGTTTTTAAACCAAAAAGAAATTCACATAATAGTAATATTTTGAGTATAATGCATGCACTATTATTTATGTAGAATTTAAAATTCGTAAAACGTAGAGTTGAGTCATGCATTATGGTGAAGGTTTATACAATCAAGGCTGAAAAAATATTGAGATAAACACCGTTGTTTTGGAAGAACTAGATTGCGTGATGATATTTATAAACCGGTTTGTATAAGAAATTTCACTTCAGATTCCATAGCGCAGCGTAGGAGCGTGCTAATACCCCGTTGTGGCCTATATTTAACTGAGGAAAAGAGAAGGGGTGCCTCAAAGAGAGAGAGAGTGAAGAGACTGCATAATGCTTAGGGATTCTTGTATGTATTCTTTCCTATGCAATGCCTATATAGAAAGAATAACTATGTATTATTTCCTTACAATGGGCAGGCCATAATTATGTGGTTCAAATTCGCCTTTGGCTAGAATCGAATTTAAGACCTCTCACTTACAAATGAAGAGGAATACCACTATATCGTAGTTTAAGTGACAACACTTTATCTAACTTAAACATGAAAATATTATCAATAAATAAAAAAAGGTTTTTTATATTAGCATCCCACAAAATGTTGAATGCACCCCACATTAAAATTTAATAATAAATAACTTATTTACTCCACTATGTAATGACAATTTTGACCTTATTAGGTTTAAAAACAATTCTAAATAAACCCCAAATCACCTTTAGCGTATTATTTCTCTTCTTCAACTATCAAAACCCCTCTCACCCTCCATTATTGAACGAAACCCTAACTAATGAAACTACAGACATGTTGATTGAGAAAAATTATTTTTGATTAATGGAACACGAAATCGATATACCTTCCA